CAAGGTAAACTGTAAAACATGAATCTCAACAGGTATTATACAAATACACACCACAGGCAAAAAAATTGTTAAACCTTGATACTGCACCTGGGTCAAAGTTTAACCTTAGATCGTGTGTTAAAAGGGCAGTTTAATTCCATGCAGGCATAAAACTAGCAATGCTAGGTAAATCTTACATTGTAGACTTAGATTTTACATCTGATATAGGATGTAGACAGACTATATAAAGTAATGACTTTTAGCTGATTCTTTCTTTCAATGAATACTCATAGTCTTTATTCAAATACAGTCAAACCTCATTATTTGGACTGAGAAAAAGTCGGAGATATCCAAAAGATTCAAGATATTAAGGGTAATAAAATACAAATTAATGTACTCAAAGAACATTTAATGCTGGGGACTAAAGAATTACATATCCATGCTGCGGCACTGCGGTGTTCTTGACTTTGTCCTCCTTTTAGTATGTTTTTTTTGTGTATAAGGTGTATATATAAATTTATATATATTTATATATAGAAATTTTAATGAAGACCTCAAGCAGACAAAAACATATTACATCCTCTTGTACTGAAGGGCCTTCCAGCTAATATCCCAAATGACACAAATTCAAAGAGAGTTTCGGTCATAAACCGAAATAACTTCAACCACCTCAGGTGATCAATATTGAAATATTTCATAGCAAAAACATCAATAAGAGTTTTGCACATATTACTTGAAAAAGCAAATTTGTCTTCGTTTTGAGTGTATTTTAACTATGGTATAAATCTTCATACAGTGATCCAAATTGATAGCTAACAATAGCGACTGGATAGCTCTAATAAATCATGATAACCCCAGGAGTAGTGTCATAAGAGATAATCTAAATTTGTTACCTACACACAATTAAACTTGCCATTTAACTTCTCATCAAGAGGTAGGAATGGAGATAACGGTTAAGGTCAACGGCACGCAAATCTGTCCTCACAAAACACTTAACGTATCATCAGTCATCTTCTGTGAAATGGATAGACGCAGTTTTTCTCAAGAAAGATTAATCAAGAATTTTAAAAAAAACAAAAAAAAAAATCTTGTATCATTTTTTTTTTCAAATTGCAGACTACATATATTGCATTGGGGCATCTTAGGTGGCTGTGATTAATAATCAGGCTACCTGTATTGTAAATTGGGTGTATCATCTTCGGTAGCAACTTAATCAAGGACCGTTAATGTTTAACTTTGTCTGAGGTGAGGGGTACGTGTGCCTTACACCTGTCCCTCAAATTCCGTGGGGGGACACCATGAGGCCCCGCATCTGTCCACAACATTCCTTCCCGACAGGTGAGCATCACCCCCACTCCACAATTACCTGAACCTGCGGTGAATATCATTCAGAAGTCAAGCAGCTCAGTTTCCATACCCTCTGTGCTGCCCTCGTCACATGTCTTTTGCCAGTAATTACCCCCATTGAGGAATTTATCAGCAGGATTGGCTGTTTAACCTGCCACGAGCCAGCGGTATCAAATTCCGATTTAATTTCTTTAATTTAAGAACTATTAATATTTTGATAAAGATCCATTAAAAATTTTTATTCCTTCATCTAAGTTACAGAACATCATGACAGACACTTAATGGCATTGTGGATTCATTTTTATATTAAATTTATGCACAACTGGTTTGAAAAGAATGGGTACTCGATTTCAACATTAAACTTCTTAATGATTGAAAAACTTGCAAGTTTCCCTTTGTGATGTCTTTTAACAAAGAAATATTAGAATTTCAAAAGGGTAGTAATATTTTTTTTAGCATTTTTTAACAATAAAACATCAGTATATTGAATTTCTGCCTTTTTGGCATGTATAGATAATATTTTCCCTGAGTCATTTCTCTAATACAAGGAAACAAAAGTGCAATATATCTAATGCTGTCTGGCACTCAGACACAAATACCTGCAATTGAAATAGAGAATCACATAGACATTGAAATACAGCTATCTCCATCTTTCCTCTGGCATTCCATTAAAATCTAAATGAGAAATGTGCATGCAAAATCAATTGCATGAATTTATTGAAAAGAAATTTTTTTTGTTCTGCTAGTTTGTTTTGTTAACTTTGTTTTTTTTTGTTTTTTTGTTTTTTGGTCGATTTTTGTGTTTTTATTAATTGGTTGAACAAAAAAATTAGATATATATTATAGCATATAACCTTGAGCCGTAGCTGCATTAACATTTTACAACGGATCAGCCTGATTTACTTCATGACCAAACCATAAAAGGACAGCTAAATCCTGCCTCCCCACTTGATCCCCTCCTGAACCTGAGGGGTGCAGCTGCAGACCGAGTGCAGCACATGTGTACAAGTGGACTTCAAAGTCTATCATAAAAACCCTGAAGCTGTTTGTTCTAATATTTCATGCATCTGTCCCATTAAAATGCCTCAACTTAAAACCTCAAAGATTTGACTATAAGATTTATAATTAAAATCAGTTCTTGTGGGCAGAACACAATTTTTCTAAAGAATTTCCTTATAGATCTAAGTATAATAAAATTTTTATTTTTTTTTAAAAATATATTATTACAGTAGTAAAACTGTGCAGGACCTGCTTTCTTTAGTTTTAGAGGCTTGTTTTCTTAAATGACAAATGTGATCTGTCAGCGCAGTGGATCATGCCTGGTTACATACTGATGGCTCTAATACAGCATGAAATTCACCACCACCGGGGCCAAATAGTTTGTCTTAACAAAAAAGGTGTAACTTGTGCCTTGTGAGAAATCTGCCGATAGAAACTACTGATAAGTTAGTTATACTTTTGGTATAGTGTTCATCTGGGTTCTTTCTTCAAACATTTCACCTGCTCTTATATAAATTATAGTGTTTTTATTATGATTAGTAATATATGATACCATATTCCATTTAAGTTAGTAAAAATGTCAATAAATAACATGCTCAAAACTTTTTGCTGAGAACCTATATATCTTTCAATGGTTGCTAGGTATCAAACAAACACATGATAGCCATACTAATTCTTCCCTAGGTTTTGTTTGGCATCTCGCTCCATGTCTTAAATGTTTTATGCATCACACAATATGCTCTTTAAGACTTTAATTCAACTTTACAAGTGTGTATTCACAAACAAACTGTTCTTTTTCTAGTAACAGAGAAATGTGAATGATGCTCTAAATTCTAAAAGGTCGCTGTCAACATAGTCAGGTCATGAGAAGATGACATAAGATCAGGTGCGTCATTTGACAGGTATTTCTTAACCCAAAAATAGAACTGATGTAACCTTGACTGCGTAATGATGTTTCCAAAAGTGTATTGACCCATTTCTGTGTAACACAAACCTTTAAACAACTATATAGATAGACCCATGGGCCACAATGCTCATCTGAGTTATTATGGCCCCTCTCTCTCTGTATCAATGAATTTCTTTTCAAATATATTCCTAAGTAAGACTTTGCACTTTGTGGCACAACCCCATCCCAGGGGTCATCATTTGAACACATTTTAATCTTATAAATACATGAGGATATTTTCATATAGATAAATATTACTTGGCCTCTGTTTACGAATTTTTTTGTTTAAAGATGTTCTTTGTATATATTATATACACTTTGATTGGCCAAAACAAATAACAAAAGAAACCGATATATTACCGAGAAATTATGATTTACGGGGTTTCTTTGATTGGATAGATAAAACAATGAAACAATGAAACCTTAATGAGTATAATTCATTCCGCTGCTATATTATTAATATGACTGTTTCCTATGTATGGTCTGTCTGTCTCTATAATCCTAACTGACAATAAAAGCTTTCACAAAGAATAGGAACTATTCAACAATGTTTTTAAAAGCTTGAATTCCAGCTTCAATTTACTTTTGCCAAAAAACCTACTCCCAAGATCAACAAATGACAGAAGAATAAAACACTTGTCTACAAAGAAAGAACTGATAGAAATTTTTAAAACATGATCGGAATTTGTGTGCAAACAGCGGGCCACTGAAGTGTTGAATTGTCGCAGTAGGATAAATAAACTGACCACAATGGAGTGTCCAAACATGGGCGTTTAAACTTAAATCAATTATCTGAAACATTTGAGAAGATGCAAAGTAAAATTGTATGACTGATATTTGATGAAATATTTCATATACGTCAATGAATAATTTTGCCTGACAAAGCACACGGTTGTCTTTTTTGGCTTTGAAGATATTCCAAGAACATATTCCGTTTCAATTAGACCTTGGTGTGATTTAGCAGGGCCTGTTATTTTGTATAAAAATGTCAATAATAGTTTGTTAATGCTCAATCTCATTATCTCCATAAAAGCTATTAGAAAGTGGGTGTTAAAATATTTCATTAAATTCCTATGAATAGATTTCAAATATAAACTAGGTGGCTGTACTTTTGCCTTCCACAAATTTCTCAATGTTCTTCATTGATATCTTATTAATGGGAACTCTAACATCAACAAAATCATCATCGTCATCATCATCATCCAGAACATTACTATCTGTTAGGCAATGTATAAACGATCAATGCACAAATATCAACAGAGGCCTACACAGGGACTCAGATCCAAGGGGACATTTCACATTTAAATCACCTTACATCTTGAAAGATAGCTTTCAATCAATAAATGAAGCAAACTGCTGATAATGAATTAAATATGTACTAGACTTCAAAGCAAGAATTAATCAATCATTTAGTATTTTAACCTCGGAGATGCCATTCATTATGTATTCAGATAAAATAACTGTGCTACTTTATTGTTGGGAATCTTCTTTTTTCCTCTTTTTAGCCTTTTATTTATTACAGTCTCCAGTAATAAAAACATATATTTTCAACAAATCAAAACTTCTGTAAAACAGAGAGCTGTCTGTGCACAATATACATAAACCCACGGACTCGTATTAGAAAAAGAGGCATTTTTGACCAGCCTACCACAATTCCTACAGACAGACAGATGGACAAATTATGATCTTTATGCTGTCTTTGTGATAAAAGCAAAGATTCAATACTTACACTATTGATGTACTTCTCGCTTGTGGTGAGGGCATGCATTATAGCCGTGTCCAGTTTCCCGTCCAGCTTATTCAGTGTGTGCTCGGCATCATACTTCTGGGCCATCCAGGCCTGAAGTCGACCGACTGACATAATTAATCCATTCCAATCATTACTTATAACAGAAAGCTGGGCCAAACACCTTCTCATTGAATTTAAGCAGAATCCCTTGCACGGTTTGATGTCAATTTCCTGTTGGCAATGTGAACAATACTGAAGACGGGTCACCGCATGTTGGCACTTTTCGGTCAAGGTCATCTGATCCGTTGTATTGATGGTCTCCACCAGCAAGGTCAACACATCCATGTATGATTTGGCTGTAGACAAAGCCTTATTGAGGATATGGGATATATTGTAAGGCAATGGTCCAAATGGATTGGGGACTATTTCTTGTCGTTTATTTTTTAAACACTCAGTGTTTTCTGGAGATAGGGTCATTGAAATATTTTTCCCTTTAATAATGTATTTATACAAATATGGAAATAAAGAATCAAATAAGGAATTCACAGAGCCGTACAGACTCACATGTTTCATTTTTAAGTAAGTCCTAATGTCTTGGTAGAAGTCATTTAGGGGTTGTTGATGGACACTTGGTGGAATATCATACAAGTCTATTAGCAGCTGGCTCGTTCTGTTGTACGAACTCTGGATTACGTTTTCCAATCGTTCTGAAAATAGAAGTAATAAAATATATAAAGACTATTTCATAAACTTGTGATTTGTTAATGTCTTTTAAGTTTGGCTAAAAGTATTTCCCTTATATGTGATGACTTAAATTTTTCTATGGTTAACTTCCCTTACTTGTGTACCCTTATTATGGTATTACCTGTACATCAAGTTTATGTCTCCCAGTTGCTTCCATACAAAAGAGCATGCTCTATGTATGAACAATTTCTAAAAGGAGGCAAGCTATTGACAAACAAGTTGATGAATCAAGGATATCAACAGTCTTGTTAAAAGTCAAGATTTTGCTGTGGCAAGTTCTGTGGTTGAGAAAAAGACCTTCTTAGCAAGGACTGCTATCTTTAAGTGGAATGGCTGATATTTTTCCTACCATTTGTTAGAACATTATTAACACACTGAACTGTCTATGGATTTTTCATCTGTCTGTTCATGACAAGGAGCACACAACGTGGAAGACCAGATGGCAGAGGATGTTTACTCCTCCATGGCACCTGATCCCATCTCTGATGTTTTGGAGGTCCATGTTTACTCTGCTCCCAATTTGTACATTGTACAGTATTGTTTTAATAGATCTTTGAACTTGAATATCTTTATATTTTATTGAAATGTTACTAGTGTTTACAATTTCATTATTTGCAAGGTTGAATTATGAAACTCTTCTCTTTTATGGAAGGGAATTACCGCCAAAAGTCTATGTATCTTACTTTTATTCTTATTCTGCCTACTTCTTTATGCTTTGTTGTTATTGTAATTATATGTCACTTTATTGTTTTCATATTCGTCTTAATTACATTTCACTTTGACTTTTATCCTTCTTCATTTTGTCTTTACTTCTATGTTGCTTTATTCTTGTAAATTCATTCTACTTTCTTTTAAATTTAAACAGTTTCTTTCATAAATTATTAGCATTATCTCTACTACGAATGTTAATTCAATCACGCTAACAATGAAGCATATTCAATGAAGACGAATGGAAGTTGTCAAACCGTCAAAATTTAGTGCGGCATTATAACGCTAGGTGGCGTGGTGTTCGCTACGAGTGTTGGTAAAACTAGGTAAGCAAACCCGGGTCGGGTTATTTGAGATTCTTCAATACGACTATATCAATCGAACTTCTGAAGGCTGGATCCGATCTCCCGATCCAATGATGGAAACTCCATATTTATTTTCTCTGGGCACACAGGAAAAGCGGCTTCTTTTTTTCAGACATATTTTTATACTATACTGAATATGTTCATTTATAGGCCGACCCACTTTTTGTAAGAGTAAGGGTCAAATAAGTAAATGTAGTATATACGTATAGTAGGAAGAAAATTTAAATTTGATTCTATAGAAGAATTTGAATCTAACTCAAAACCCACCCCGCCCCCAAAATAGGATTTCATCAATTTGGCGTCGGAAAAGCTAATTGAATGTTGGGGGGGGGGGGGGGGGGTAAGTGTAAGAATTTTTTTAGACCTTCAAAAAAAAACTGACAAGCAAAAAAAAAAATGTCCATTTTCCAAACACAAAAATCCTATTTCGTGAGAAGGGGTGGGCTGGGTATAAGGTTCGAACTCCAGTGCCAAAGTTTTTTTTTTTCATACACCACCACTTTCCCCATTTTAAACCTTTACTGCATCGTGTCCATGGAAAGTGGGGAGGGGGGGCTAAACCTACGCAGGAATGTTCAATGTCTATACTAAGTCTATCTTTGGAAAGAAGTGGGGGCTAAGCTTCACACCCCTCCCCGGTTCCGACGCCTATGTATTTTCAAGTTTTGACAATTTCCTGGGGTTTATTTTGCGCTTGTCAAGTTGTTTTCAGCCGGGTAGCTTGAATATTTATTCTCTTATTGCCCCCCTCCCCACTTTCAAAAACGATGCTACGTCACTGTTCTCTCGCCTGAAAAATATAACTCTACTAAAGTTATTTGTTGGATATTTGAATTACAGTTTCATTGTTATAAAAATGTTAAATATTTTGATACTAGTTAACCCTTATAAATTGGGTTGTTTTTCAGAACCTTCCACTGAACTGAACTTTATTTCATGACAGATAGTAACTGTTGATGCGCGTGATTCTAGGGACAGGGCTTTGCAAAGGAGTGAGGAGCGTTATGGGTAGGCAGGCGCGGATCCAGAATTTTTTTTCGGGGGGGGGGGGGGGGGGGGGGCAACCAAGTAAAAAAAATCCAATCCCAGAAATTTCTTGACAAGCATAAAAAGAAGAAAAAACTTAAACTCACTCAAACGTCAAAAATTCTATTTCGTGTGTGTGTGGGGGGGGGGGGGGTCCTTGTTTTAGTAACCTTGTTAATTCCAGGGGTCCCCCCCCCCCTCTAGATCCGCGCATGGAAGGCGAAGTCTGAACCAGACTACATGCACCCAGGCATACTAGAAACACCCCGGTCTTTTTTTCTGCGTTAATATTTTATATTAAAATAGCACTTTTCAATAAAGAAAGAAATATCTTTAGTACGCACCGTGTTTGTCATCAACCAGGAGAGCAAAAAAAAAAAAATCCTAAAACTCGAAAATTCTATTTGGTGGTGGTGAAGGGGGGGGGGGGGGGTCGTCAACTTTTTTCAGTATAAAATTTAACTCATATGCCACTAAGTACATGACTTTTAATATATAAATTGACTATTAGTACTGCAACAAAAAGTGTAAGGGATTAGGGATGGGGGGCAACAAGCCTTTCGCTGAACTTTTCCAGTAGTAAAAAGTTACGTTTAGGAAAATGTTTCGTGGGCACCCTCCCCTCTACCGATGAAACTTACCCCATAGGAGGTCGTCCACCCGGAAGTCGGTATATATATATATATATATTGAGACTTTGGTGGTGTGATTGTACATTGTATAATTTCATTTTCGAGAATTTTTCACTCAAATGGAGAAGCCACCTCTTGCCGGTGGAGAGCTGCAAATGTGTCCTATATATTCGGCACTTATAGCCATTGAGCAGTGAGGGATCTTTTTTCGTGCCAGCACCTACAGCGACACGGGACCTCGGATAATACATTCTAGATCTCATCCGAAGGACCGAACTCCACATCCTAAAGTGGGATTGGAACCCACGACGTATTGGTCGACTCCTTACTACTGTACTTCGTGACTCTATACAGAGCAGACGCCGTAACCACAGTGCCACGCGGGCAACTGCATCCAAGGGGGGGGGGGGGGGGAGAGAGAGAGAGAGAGAGAGAGAGAGAGAAAGAGTCATTATCCATATGCACTCGTGAAGATTATCTATGTTTAAATAAATTGTTAAAATGATTTAATTATAAAAAACTATCAAAATGATATTATTTAAATAATTATTCATATAGAACCAGGGACCTATATACTACAGTATATACTAGTATATAGATCCCTGATAAAACGGATAAATTTTCTTCAAAAACTGAAAACGTTAGTATATATAAACATTGTTTTACGATTTGTTTTACGATTTAGAAAAAACTAATCGGGGAGGGGTTGCTAGGAATGGGGGCGAATTGCTATATATAGCGAGATTTCCCACGGAAGACTAGCTATATATTGAAACTTCCCCGGGGGGAGTCCCACTGTGTAGTCTTCCGAAGAAAGCATCACTATGTAGTCAGTCTTCCAGGGGAAATCTTACCATCTAGCGAGACTTCCGAGGGAATGGCATGTATCAGGTACATACCTGGACTTATAACAAACATCAGTCTTTTAAAAATTTAAGTTTGATTAATAAAGTATTAAGGCAGAAAATTGAAAAAACTCGAATAACCCCGGCACGGGTTTGCTTACCTAATTTTACCAACACTCTTAGCGAACACCCCTGCCACCTAGCGTTATAATGCGGCACTAAATTCGGACAACTTGTATTCGTCTTCATTGAATATGCTTCATTGTATTCGTGATTGAGTTAACGTTCGTAATAGTTATAATCATTTAAGAAACTGTATCAATTTAAAAGAAAGTAAAATGAATTTACAAGAATAAAGCAACATAGAAGTAAGGGCAAAATGAAGAAGGATAAAAGTCAAAGTAAATTGTAATAAAGACGAATATGAAAACAATAAAGTGACATATAATTACAATAACAACAAAGCATAAAGAAGTAGGCAGAATAAGAATAAAAGCAAGATACATAGACTTTTGGCGGTAATTCCCTTCCATACTCTTTGCAGACTTTCAAGATAAATTTCATACTAATCTACTTCTTCATGCCCTTTAATACCTGATCTCTTATCATATATTCATAAATATGTCCGAATTTTCAATGTATGTGTACGTAAACATGAATATCGTTTAAAACAACTACATGTATGTCTATTTTAACAAACAGGCATTGACAATTATTAAAGAGGGTTAAAGATGGGGGTTTTCAGATACGATTGTTAATTACTATGAAAACGTCATTGTGTATCTTGTCTATCGAATCTCAAATATCGCGGCTGGTCATTAAAAAGATGTAAAACGTCTGAACTACAAAATAATGTTAACTGAATGCTTGAAATGATACAATACACCTATATCGCATGCCAAACAAAAGTATCTCTAATCATCAATAGAAATATATCTTAGCAAGTCGAATTAACGCACGCTTGATCGGAGACACTGGAATGTGCTACCATTTATAAAAGGTTAGATATTCTAAGATGATATGACATAGGTAATAGGCAGAAGATTTTGTCTGAATCGGATACCCGACAACGCGCACTAGACATATAATGGAAGGAAATGCTAGTTAAATATTTACCCCACACTTTACCATAGAGCTGTTTCTTACATTCTGTTTACTCTACATGATGCCCTATAAGGACATTTTTTGCTTTATTGACACAGGTTAGATTTCTTCTTCTAAAAATCTTAACAATTTTAAGCTGAAAGGCCCAGGTTTGCATACTTTTTTGGAGAGCCACATTAGTGTTCTGAGAACAACTTTCAAACATGCAGAATGTGAAATGTCTCAGCTTTTACAAGAAGACATCTATAACAACTTTTTATGATTAATAAAACTTGCAATCAAT